ATCTTAACAATATATATTTATCATATTTATTATTTCAGAGAGATATTAAATATTAAAGGTACCATTTCCATCAGTCTCAGATCAGCATACATTTCACTAAGCTAATTGCAAGGCTAGACAGGGGGCACGAATAACTCAAGCCGCCTAATATATTCAAAAATATGACGTTATGGAGAAGTTAGGCCAAAAATAGACGTCTTGTTTACCTACAGTTGCACTAAATGCATCAGGATTTTACTGGGTGTGTTTGTAGGCCTGTCTGTATATTCTGTGAATGGACTCTAAATCTGAATGTACAGTCTGTTATGTCTGAATGGTGTTCTCTCTCATTATCTAGGCTGTTCGTCCAAGTCATTCAAGCTGTATTCCCCAAAGGAGCCCCCTAACGGTAGTGCCTTCCCTCCATTTCACCCAGGCGCAATGCTGGATAGAGATGTGGGGTGAGACTTGTGATTATTGTTTTACATGGTGAAGAAGATATAATATGTGTTTGTCTAATATGTGTGTGTGTGTGGCCATTTTCTAGTTTTAAAGTAGTAGTTGTTTGGCATCTAGCTAACGTCTATCTAAAGTAAACTGATAATACACTAGATATTTATTATGATAGTTGCTAATTATAAGGTCTTAATAATGCTCTTTATATTGCAGTCCGACACCGATGTATCCCCCCTCTTACATGGAGCCTGGAATAGGGTAAGTACTTATTTGGCTGTTGAAATTTGTGTCTACAGCAGTTTATTTTCAGGAGACAGACAACAGGGTGTAATACAAAGTGGATGTACTAAAACAAAAAGCTTTTGGTTTCACTGAATATTATAAACTACCACAAGCCTTTTCAGACCCTGCTCTGCCTATTGAAATGCTATTCACTCATATTGTTTGGTTATTTTCTTGAGAAAAGTTTAAATTTATTGTTATATAATTCATACATACACTACTGTTCAAAGGTTTGTGGTCAGTAAGTTTTTTTTAATGTTTTTTAAAGTCGTTTCCTATACTCGCCATTTACTGTGAACTATTATTACAATATAAATAACTGTTTTCTTATATTTAAAAAATATATTTTATTCCTGAGATACCAAAGCTGAATTTTCAGCAGCCATTACTCGTCTTCAGTATCACATGATGCTTTAGAAATCATTCCAATATGATGATTTGCTGCTCAAGAAACATTTCTTATCATGTTACAGGAGGCACACACCGTATGGAAATCAAACAGACTACAGAATATTTGAGCTCAACAAAAGACTACAGAATTGGTCAGAGGTAAAAAAAAACAAAAAAAAAACACATTCATTAAAGGTCCCATATTGTACACCTTTCTGGAGTTTTATTTTAGGTTTTGATGTCCTTAAGAATATATATTTG